TCTTTGAGGTCCCTTCCAACCCAAACCATTCTATGATTTCTCTCCTCTGTTGGCCTTTTGTCTGGAGTTGGTGCTGCTGGGTCCCCAGAGCCACATGGGGAGATTTTGTTTGGGATTTACCCCCTGCCACAGAGAGAAGGCAAAAAAACCCCAACAAAACAGCCCCAAAAGAAAATAAATCCTCCCCAAACCACCGACCCTGGGGCTTTAACAGCGTTCCTGCAAAATAAAGACAACACAAGGCGTTATGAGAGCCCTTCGCTGGCCGAGGTCACTGGTTCAGTTCCCTGCCACTGGGGGAAACTGGGAGAAGGGCCAAGGAGGAGGATGAAACCCCCAGCGACCTGCTGCTCGCTGCTGAGGAATTCCTCGCCCGCCGCGCCGGGAAGAATAACATCCCTCAGTAAAAACCCCACTCGAGCTATTCCCCTGTGTGCTAACAGCTGCGGGGGCTATTTCTGGCTCAGGCCCATCCAGGATGTTCTCGTCCCGGAGGAAACGTAAGGTCGTCTTCTTCCTGTGACCTCTCTCTGTTGATGTTCCAGGCTGAGAAAATCAAGAAGAAGCGAAACACCCTGTTTGGGACGTTTCACGTGGCTCACAGCTCGTCTCTCGATGATGTGGATCATAAAATCTTAACTGCAAAGTGAGTATCTGCTCAAATGTCTTCCCTTATTCCTCTTGGGGGTTTCAGACCCGAGTCTGGAGAAGAGAAGGCTGAGGGGGGATCTGATCAACACCTATAAATACTTCAAGGGTGGGTGTCAGGAGGATGAGGCCACCACTTTTTTTCAGTGGTGCCCAGGGACAGGACAAGAGGAAATGAGCACAAACTTGAATGTAAGAAGTTCCACCTAAACATGAGGAGGAACTTCTTGACTTTGAGGGTGGCAGAGCCCTGGCAGAGGCTGCCCAGGGAGGTGGTGGAGTCTCCTTCTCTGGAGACATTCAAACCCCACCTGGACACGTTCCTGTGGGACCTGCTCTGGGTGGGATATGCTCTGGGAGGGGGTTGGACTGGATGATCTCCAGAGGTCCCTGCCAACCCCAGATCATTCTGTGATTCTGTGATCCCTGGAAATGTCAGTCGTTGCTGTTTTTTTTTAATTCCTGTATTCCTGCAAGTGGAAGGAAAGACGGCTCAAGTATTGGGTTGCAAAGCCAGACCACCAGACTCCCTGTTTCAGGCAATTCCCGGTGTGTTTTCCCTCCTCCCCCTGCATTTCACAGAATCACAGAATCTTCTAGGTTGGAAGGGACCTTAAAGATCATCTTGTCCAACCGTCAACCTGACTGACAAAAATAGACACCCACACAACAAACAAGGAGCATCACCATCACTAAACCAGACCTCCCAGCACTACATCAACCCGTCTTTTGAACACCTCCAGGGATGGGGCCTCAACCACCTCCCTGGGCAGCCCATTCCAATGGCTGATGACCCTTTCAGTGAAAAAAATGTTTCCTAATATCCAGCCTGAACCTCCCCTGGTGTTTCCCCTTGTTTCCCCTCCCTTCCAGGCAAGCCCTGAGCGAGGTGACGGCCGCGCTGCGGGAGCGGCTCCATCGTTGGCAGCAGATCGAGATCCTCTGCGGTTTCCAGATCGTCAACAACCCCGGGATCCACAGCCTGGCCTCTGCCCTCAACATTGACCCCAGCTGGATGGGCACCCCCCGCCCCAACCCCTCCCACTTCATCATGACTGACGACGTGGACGATTTGGACGAAGAGCTGGTGTCTCCCATGTCCATACAATGTACGTGGTCCCTCTTGGCCTCGCGCGGTGAGTCTGCGTCTGCCGGGGGCCTGGGGCCGTAGTTGACATGTGTTAGGAGGAATTTAAGGTACTTAAATTCGATTTTTAAATGACCAAAGACAAATTGCTAGTCGTTAAGGGTCAGGAATGTCCGTAAGAGCGGGACCATCACTGCTGGGGTTGCTTGGAGCCTGTTAATTCTGTGATTCTGTAATTGCAGCAGAACTAGTACTTTGTAGATGTTATTAGTCATCATTTAATCATCTGTGGGCTGTTCTGTTCAACTCTCTGGATTTATGCATTTGCAAAAAGAGCCACAGGCATGGGCTGGGCTCAGGAAAGTGAGAAAGGACAATGAAGTGCATTGTCCTCTTGGCCAGAGCACTTCTTTGGGATATAGAAGGACTTGGACACCCCCTCATGCACGGCTTTGCTCCAGGAGAACCACGAGGATCCAGGGAGAGCTGGAGTCCCTCTGCTGGGAGGGGGGACTGAGAGAGTTGGGGGGGTTCAGCTGGAGAAGAGAAGGCTCCGGGGAGACCTTGGAGCCCCTTCCAGTCCCTCAAGGGGCTCCAGGAAAGCCGGGGAGGGACTCTGGATGAGGGAGGGAAGCCCTAGGAGGAGGGGGAAGGGTTTGACCCTGAAAGAGGGGAGATGGAGCTGAGATGTGGGGAAGAACTTGTTTGGTGGGAGGGTGATGAGAGCCTGGCCCAGGTTGGCCAGAGAAGCTGTGGCTGCCCCATCCCTGGAGGGGTTCAAGGGCAGGTTGGAGGGGGCTTGGAGCAACCTGGTGTGGTGGGAGGTGTTCCTGCCCAGGGCAGGGGGTGGCACTGGGATGGGGCTTGAAGGTCCCTTCCCACCCAAACCATTCCATGATTCTGTGTCTTGCCCCTCTTGCCATTCTGGCTGGGGAGGAGCAGGCTGCTGTGGTGACGCTGCCTCTACCTGTAACGACCCATTAGATATTTTCTGGAGCAAAGATGGACACCCCTGTGCTCCATCTCCTCTGCGGCGTGGTGGTCATCACCATGGGCATTCAATCCCTCTTTACCAGTGACTGTTCCATGCAAATAGCTGGGAGGAATGGGGCTGCTGGAGGTGGTGGCGGGTGGTCCTAGATCTCTCGGAGGAAGGGACTGAGTTTGGGTCACCCTGTGTCCTTCGCTCTCCCATCTGCTGAGCTCTTGGGGGAAGTGAAGGTTCTCTCCTCCTCTGCAAAAGGTTGGTGAATCGGCCCTGACCACTCTTCCCATGATAAACTGACCCAGATTGGGCCTTGCTTCTCTCAAAAATGCATTGTCCAAACACGGTTTCCCATCTCTGGGTCTTGCACAAGAGGATGGGAGGACTGAGGAGCGGTTCCAGGCACTGATGGCAGCTGGAGCTCATGGTTCCAAGTTCCAGCTGGGAGAGGGCACCCCATGCTGCCAGCCATCACTGCAGCAGCCTTTTTAGTTACGCTTGATTCGGGTAATTTTCTAGTGAAGATGTCATCCAAAGTCTGTTTGACTGGGTAGAGGGCAGGGAAGAGGAATGGAAGAGCCTCGGGGTTGGTAGAAGTTTGGGAAGAGGAACAGAAGGGCCTTGAGGTTATAGAAGGTGGAGAAGAGGAATGGAAGAGCCTTGGGGTTGGTAGAAGGTGAGGACAAGGAATGGAAGAGCCTCAGGGTCGGTAGAAGGTGGAGAAGAGGAATGGAAGAGCCTTGGGGTTGGTAGAAGGTGAGGACAAGGAATGGAAGAGCCTCAGGGTCGGTAGAAGGTGGAGAAGAGGAATGGAAGAGCCTTGGGGTTGGTAGAAGGTGAGGACAAGGAATGGAAGAGCCTCAGGGTCGGTAGAAGGTGGAGAAGAGGAATGGAAGAGCCTTGGGGTTGGTAGAAGGTGAGGACAAGGAATGGAAGAGCCTCAGGGTCGGTAGAAGGTGGAGAAGAGGAATGGAAGAGCCTTGGGGTTGGTAGAAGGTGAGGACAAGGAATGGAAGAGCCTCAGGGTCGGTAGAAGGTGGAGAAGAGGAATGGAAGAGCCTTGGGGTTGGTAGAAGGTGAGGACAAGGAATGGAAGAGCCTCAGGGTTGGTAGAAGGTGGGGAAGAGGAAGAGAAGAGCCTCAGGGTTGGCAATGTGGGCTACTGGAGATGCCCGTACGTGCCATCATCATCCTCCCATCATGGCTTTGGGTTCCTATTCAATGCTGTGAAGGTCTGGAAGTGGGTGCTGAGGTCGGGCTGAGGGTGGTGGGGAATGAAGGTCAAGCACGGAGGGGTTGGGCAGCCAGCAGGAGGAATGGCAGGGGGAACGGCAGGAGGAACGGGGTGTCTGCAGGTTTCCAGAGATCACCAAACATGGGGGTGGGAGCTGGCAGGTTATGGGGTGGTGTGCCTGGGGAAAGTTTAAAGCTTCAAATAACGTTGTCCTACTTGTCTTTGTGATTATCAGTGGCCATTAGAAGCCAGACAGCTCTAATGAGACACTTGCAAAGGTGAGGACAGGCTGAGAGAGTTGGGGAGGTTCAGCCTGGAGAAGAGAAGGCTCCGGGGAGACCTCAGAGCCCCTTCCAGTCCTTCAAGGCAGGAGGTCCAGGAAAGCTGGGGAGGGACTCTTGATGAGGGAGGGGAGCCCTAGGAGGAGGGGGAAGGGTTTGACCCTGAAAGAAGGGAGATGGAGCTGAGATGTGGGGAAGAACTTGTTTGGTGTGAGGGTGGTGAGAGCCTGGCCCAGGTTGTGTAGAGAAGCTGTGGCTGCCCCATCCCTGGAGGGGTTCAAGGGCAGGTTGGAGGGGGCTTGGAGCAACCTGGTGTGGTGGGAGGTGTCCCTGCCCAGGGCAGGGGGTGGCACTGGGTGGGCTGTAAGGTCCCTTCCAACCCAAACCATTCTGTGATTCCATGCAAGGCAGGGATTAGAGAGGGATGTCTGAAGAGAAGTCCCACCTGAAGCACGCTCTCCAGAGGATGAGCTGGGGGGGTTTGAGCCTTCATCCAAGATTTAAGCCTCGGCTTCATTGTTTCTTGCTCGAGACACCTCGAGGGTGATTTTTTGGAGTGGGAACTCACAGTTCCCATCAGCCCAGTGACCAGTGCTGGCCTCCCTGCCCCTCTCCGAGCCACCACGTCCCAGTGGGGGGACAACTCCTGTCCCAGGTGCTGGACACCCCATTCCCAAAACACGGCAGCGTTTGCCTTTCCCCAGAGGATTTTTCTCTCTCTGTGTCCAAAACCTGCCTCAGGAGAGAAGTGTGGGGTTTTTCCTCCCCAGATGTGTGGGGGATGTTGCCGACCGACGGCCCGTGATGGTTCTCCCAGTAAATCACATTTTTCTCTCTCCCGTTGACTCCTGGTTGGCCCATCCCAGACGCGGCCTGGCTTTTCGGGCGCAGGTTCAGTGACCGCTCGTCTCTGTCCTTGGAGGATCAGTCCCTCTGGAAATACCCTGGTTTGGTTCTCTTCGATTATATTTTAATTTTTTTTATATATATTTATATATTTTTTATTCTACCCTCTGCCCTTTTTTCTGGACTAAAATCCATCCACTGATTTTCCAACTTTCTGGCACGGCAGACTAATGAGCCTTCCTCTCCTCACCGAGTCATCAGCATCTTTACTAACCCCTGGGAAGAGGAGGGGTTCAAGGGCAGGTTGGAGGGGCCTTGGAGCAACCTGCTTTGGTGGGAGGTGTCCCTGCCCAGGGCAGGGGGTGGCACTGGGTGGGCTGTAAGGTCCCTTCCAACCCAAACCATCCTGTGATTCCGTACAAGGCAGGGATTAGAGAGGGATGTCTGAAGAGAAGTCCCACCTGAAGCACCCTCTCCGGAGGATGAGCTGGGGGGGTTTGAGCCTTCATCCAAGATTTAAGCCTCGGCTTCGTTGCTTCTTGCTCGAGACACCTCGAGGGTGATTTTTTGCAGTGGGAACTCATGGTTCCCATCAGCCCAGTGACCAGTGCTGGCCTCCCTGCCCCTCTCCGAGCCACCACGTCCCAGTGGGGGGACAACTCCTGTCCCAGGTGCTGGACACCCCATTCCCAAAACACGGCAGCGTTTGCCTTTCCCCAGAGGATTTTTCTCTCTCTGTGTCCAAAACCTGCCTCAGGAGAGAAGTGTGGGGTTTTTCCTCCCCAGATGTGTGGGGGATGTTGCCGACCGACGGCCCGTGATGGTTCTCCCAGTAAATCACATTTTTCTCTCTCCCGTTGACTCCTGGTTGGCCCATCCCAGACGCGGCCTGGCTTTTCGGGCGCAGGTTCAGTGACCGCTCGTCTCTGTCCTTGGAGGATCAGTCCCTCTGGAAATACCCTGGTTTGGTTCTCTTCGATTATATTTTAATTTTTTTTATATATATTTATATATTTTTTATTCTACCCTCTGCCCTTTTTTCTGGACTAAAATCCATCCACTGATTTTCCAACTTTCTGGCACGGCAGACTAATGAGCCTTCCTCTCCTCACCGAGTCATCAGCATCTTTACTAACCCCTGGGAAGAGTCTGGTGGGATGAAGAAGAATCACAGTTCGCTGTAGCCCTCACGTGATATTGGGTTTTGCTTTTTTTTTTTAAAAAAAATCCAGTTACAAACTCTAGAGGGTCTTTTTTTCACTTGTTTTCCCCCCTGAGGTGGAGATGAAGGGTTGAGGCTATGCCAGGAGGAGGAGATAACGTTCCCGTCCTTCCTCCTCCTCCTCCTCCACACAGGCTTCACTCACAGCCTGTTGTCGTGCCCTTCATCTCTTTTTGTCCTTAAATAAATTGAGTGATGCCACCGATTGTGCTCATCTGTCCCCGGTGCCCTGACATGGTGGGGATGGCATTTTTGGGCTGGTGGAAGCCTTCCCTTGGCAGATGCTGCCCAACGTCCCCCCTGGGATGGAGAAAGAGGAGGAGGAGGAGAAGGAGGAGAAAGAGGAGGAAGAAAAAGAGGAGGATGAGGAGGAGGAGGCCAGGCTGTGCTTGGTCAGGGTGACAGTCCTTCCATCACCTTCCTCAAGGTGACGAGCAGGTTGGTTGGAGAACGTTGATGAAACATGTGTGGGTGTCTGGAG